AGAAGGGCTAACGAAGAGTAGGCCGGATCAAAGAACGTAAGAGGAGACCGGATTTGGAAAAGAAAAGGCGAGTTCCTCTCTACTTCTCCTCTTAGAACTCATAAACTTATCACCTTGATTATCGAAATTATAATTTTATTTTATTAAATTAAATTATTATTCAGATTGGAGGAGCATATTTATTCTTTACAAAATTATAGAATTAAACATGTGAATATATGTATGCATTGTTCTGATAATTTAGATCTTGTAGGTGAGGTTAGGTTAATTAAATTTTATTTTTCTAAAATTTTTATATTTTGCGTTAACCTTGTGTAGCACGATTAATTAAATTAAATGGATTTTAATTTAATTGTATATGTTCATTTATGCCCAAAATAATAAATAGAGCTTTTGGGATTTTTCTGAGATTTTCTGAACAATTTCTGAAATTAATTTATATTTTTAATGTTAATTTAGAAATTGTTATATATATATATATATATATATATATATATATATATATATATATATATATATGTTAAATTGTTTAACAAACACACTGGAGGCGGCTAGTATTTGCGCATCAATAGGATTTTTATCCAGTGTGGTCGCGTACGTAGGAAAAGGGTGCACTCGTTGATCTAGGCCATAGGATTAATTTTATTTAGTTGGATTGATCTGGTGTGATGCGGTCCATTGTAAGTTGATACACATGCGGCATCAATGGTTAGATGTAGTTGATTAAGGGAGAGGATCCAGTGCATCGCGGCTTACCAAGAGCACCAAACAACAACCAATTAGGAGCTGCCAACACGCGCCGAGAGTGGCTCAGGCGCGTGAGGGCGCGTGCAGGCGCGTGGACGCGCCTGCCGGTAAGGGGAAGCGCGTGGAGGCGCGTGGGAGTAGTCTAGGGCTATGTGGCGGCGCGTGAAGGCGCGTGGGGATGCGTGTGAGGTCCTGGAAAGTTGCTTGAGACTCCGGTGAAGTTCCAGTATTTATCTTAAGCTTGTTAGGGTTTAAATTAATCATTAGAGGGTGTGTTCTTGATATTTTGAGAGCCTCAGAGTGTTACTAAGATACCTAGTAGCATTTAGTGGTATAAATATAATTAATTAAATATTTTTGCAATGAAAGGAGGTGTATATATGTGTATATATATGTAGATATGATTTTAAATAGTCAACGATTGGTATGGAATGTATGATACACATATATATATATATTACAAAATATATGTGTATATATATATTATTTAAGATTATTAAATATTATAAATCTTGTTTGGTATGACTTGATTCGTGTATGGTATGGTTGATTTAAAATCGTAATAGATACACGGTTATTAAATTAAGGACATGCTTATTATATGCATGTGAAGTCTATGTATAATTATACCTAGAGTTAAGTTTAAAATTAATACATGGTTGAATTGTAGGCATGGATGAGTTGCCAAAGGCTTTGATATACTGCCTTATTGGTTATGAATAAATTTCATATATGGGAAGCATGGTTGAATTGCTAATTAATTGTAAAAGTAAATATATTGAAGGAAGCATGGTTGAATTGCTAGTATATAAATAAATATATTTATAAATGGTATGGTTGATTTGCCGGTGCATATTTAAATTGCTATATGTGTAGATGACTAAATTACTGTTTAGGATGGAGTTAAGGTGAGTGGGGTTTACTTTATGAGAAAATTATAAAAGGGGGGGCTTGGTTTAGGTATGACTAATAATTAATTATTGGTGAGTGGTTTTGACAATTTAATGCCCTATTAACTGGTAGGATTCTTGCACTATATATATAAGTATTTATATATATTTGTAGCATCGTATATTAAAGTTAAAGCTTAATTAGGGATGGTTTTGGTAAAGATGATCTGTTTATTGGTTTTCAGAGGCTTGGTAGAGAGAACTTGCTCGTAGGGTTTAACCCGCGATTTATTTTTCAGGTTGTAGAAGGTCAAGTCTCAAGGTTGAGGATCCGCAGCTGGAGGACTTATCCATTCCTTCTATTTACTTAAAAGTAGGATATTAGTTTTGTTTCAGTTGATATTAGTACTTAATTGGTTGAAATTCTAAATAGTAACTTTTGGTTAAGGGGTCCTTGAGTTACGGGATTCCCGAGTTGTAACCATTTGGAAGTTATTAATGGATTTACTATTAATTAGATTTCTTCAGCGTTTTATTTTATTCTTTATTTCATTTTGTAATCCGTGCTTGTTTAAATACTTTAATTGGTTTGATATCCCCTGATTTTGTGCGCGGACTTGATCAACCCGTGTTCCGAAATTAGGGGGTATTACACAACTCATCAATTCTAAGTATGACCCATCAAACTAGTCACAATTGTAGCATACATCAATATAGAGAATCACGGAATTTATAATAATAAGCCATGGAATATCAAATCAAGTAAAGATTATCTACCTACCTACAAGTATGAATTAAATTGTAGAACAACCCATCAAGTATAAGAATAATCCATCAAATTAATTGACAAACCCATTAAATGAATATCATGCATAGCCATCACTAGATCCTTAATTAATCACACATAGACATGTAACCAACATAGAAAAACTAGTGTGGAGATCAATTCCTAAATAATCACACATAAGATAACATGTAATCCCATAGAGAATCAATAGGAAGAATTAAACCATATGAATCATGTAAGACATAATTCTAAATTTAATCACACATAGACATATAAATAAACTAGAGATTTAATAAGAAGAATTAAACTATAGAAATCATAGAAATATACTAAGATTCATTTTATTCATAAGGCTATAGCACTAATCATAAGATAAATTCCCCAAAAAGTATGAAAGAGATAGAGGTTTAGATTACAAACTTGGGGCTCATCCAAGCCCCAATGAGAAGTCTAGCCAATCATGGAGGAGGTGGATGTGATCTAGGAACCCTCAGAGGCAATCCCCAAACATAGCTCCATATTTTTTCTCTTCTTCTTTGTTAAATTCTAGAGAGAAAGAGTGTGTAGATCTAGAGATGTGTTCTTGGAGCCTCCACTTTTCTCTTTTCTTCTAACCTAATCTCTAACTTTTCTAGAGAGAGAAAATAAAATTCCAATGTAAAAAATAAAAATGATAAAAGCTCCCTTACAAAATAGGTAAATTCCCTTTATATACAAAGTTCTTGGAGTAGGCACCAAGTTAGAAATATAGCCTATGATTGGAGGAAATTCGCAACTATGCTCAGTAGGAAAAAATCGGCGCGCATGGGAATTAGATAGCTCACTGCCAGCAGCATTTTCGATCTATCGAAACTGACATGGCATCAAAAATATCTTCTGGCCTTATCCACTTTGCTGAGCTGGCACCGCCTTTTTTCGATCAAGTGAAGACCACTTCGATCGATCGGGACTTTCCTTCGATCGATCAAAGTTCTCCTGGTGTATTTTTTCTTGGATTATTTCCAACTTTACTCCTTAGCTCCAAAACTATGCTAAATGGCTCTTGTTTGCCTGTTTGAACATTATTCACCTAAAATAGGCAATAACACAAATAAGTATCTAAAACATGAACGTAAGATAGATGAATGGACTAAAATACCCTAACTTAGGTGCTAAAATGTGTCACATTTGAGCACTCATCACACCCCTAAACTTAGATATTGCTAGCGTTAGAATAAAGAAATAAGCAACTACGTAATTATAAACTAGAAAGTAATAAAAGGATAGTGCCACTTTCGCAGGAAACACGATTGCATTTAGCACATGCAGCAAGCCTTTTAAACCCCTAGGTTACCCTAGTGGACGAATGAAGTCTCGTGACGGTTTCCAGAAATGATACCCACTAACGTTGAGCTTTTTCTTACTAAAGAGGCACCAATAAACAAAACAAGTATTGGGAGAAAACTATCTCAAGTATGCAATTTTTTAACCCTTTCCAAACAATCTCCTAAAATTTAAACATCAAGCAAACAAGTATGTTCCTCCACACATCAAAAAAAATGATCATGCGAATCAAAACAACTCTAGAATTCTTTTAAGTGAACCGGCATCAAATATATTGCTATTTAAGCCAACTAGAGAAATGATTATATCCTTACCCTCAAACTAGCACACAAATTTAGTCCCGATCATCAAAACAAAGAGTGGGCCTTTTATTAAAGCTTTATTGATCTAGGTACACTTATTCTTTCCACTCGATTTTTTTTTTTTTTTTTTTTCTTACTATCCTAGAGGATCAAAGATGGATGCATGGTGTAATGTAGTGATCTATTAAGCTTTCTAGCGATCCATGAGGTCGAGCGTTAGGTCAATGACTCCCAAACCGAACGGCTTTAGGGCATTAGGTGTTTAAACACCCCTAAGGACTTACAAGCTCAAAACAGCTAGGCTACAAATTAAAACAACCTCTATCTAACCATTTCTTACTTCTTACCTTTTGGGAGAAGTCCTCACTTTTTTATTTTATTTTGCAACTACTTTTTTTTTTTTTTTTTTTTTTTTTTCAAGTTATTAACCAAGAGTTTGGGCCCTCCACCTTTCGGTGCAAGAAATTCAGTACTTAGTGAGGCTAGAATCCCGGCTACTCAATGAAAAGGGTTTGTTATCCACTTTTGCAAAGATGAAAGCTTTCAATGCACTACTAACTCAACAGGGATATAACCAAATCAATAATCAACAAAGCATATACCCCACAAGTGAGTGCTAGTGTACGCCTGTATTATTGTATAATCCTAGAGTGAATCTCAAAACAATCACAAAATTAGGATGATGTGGACCACAAATGTAAGCAAGATATCAATCTTTCAAAAAATTTACTCCTAAATGGCGTTCACAAGGCATACAAGGAGTATTGGACTCTCAAGTCAAGCAATTTTTAAATTCTAAATATCATGATCCTCAAAAGATCAAAATCATCGCTACGACTCTTAAATCTCAATCATGCATCATTATAACAAAAGTGACCTTTTGTGACAAAAATTTTATTGACAAAATCAATTTCGTTGGTACAGGTAGCTCTTTAGCGCCGCACAAAATTTTGGTCACAAAAAGAGTATGCTTTAGTGACCAACTATAATGTTGGTCACCAATTGTTTGGCGGAAAGAGAAATCAAGCTCCCGCGGTTCCGGCAATGGTGCTTGTGAAGCCGTTTTGGTAGGCATTAGTGACCAAATTTATTTGGTCCCTATCTCATTCGTTATCCTTGCGTCGTATGTCTCTATACATCTCGTCTAAACCCATGAAACCAGCACGACCCCGTATAGCCTAATGACCCCAACCTCCCAAAATTTCCCTTATTTCCCCACTGTGCGCCCAATTCTCACACGATTTTTAAACGTGAATGCCAATAGAAAGAGAGAGAGAATATCTGCTACCGATTAGCATCGTCATCGGCAATGCATCTGGACCATATCTCTTTGTCACCGATGAAAACATTATCGTCACCACCATAATAAACATAAAGGTATGGAATTTTTGTGTTATGGAATATTTAGAGCATCCAATGGAAATTAGAAATTAGGGCTTTGGGTTATATATCTTTTCAAAGCGATCAATTTCTCTCAAACCCTAACTATTGGGTTATATAGATTTTCCGAACAAGCACATTCTCTCAAACCCTAACTCTCTTTTTTCAGCAGACCTTTCAATAACCCTTATCTTGGGTCTTCGATCAACAGTTAGCGATACTGAGTTTTTTTTTTTTTTTTTTGGTGCAATTATTTGTTTCTCCTTCTGGTGTCATATATTGAGTCTGTGATGATGTATTATTATTTTTAATTGACATTTTTTGTTTTTGATTAGTGATACATTAGAAATAGAAGCTGTTATTTTTTAATTCTCAAATACACTCGTTCTTTGACGATCAGAATTGTGAATTTTTTTGTGTGTGAAATTGACAGAGCTGCACCTCTCTCTTTTTTAGCAAATCTTTCAATAACCCTTATCTTGGGTCTTCGATCAACAGTTAAAGATACTGAGTTTTTTTTTTTTTTGGTGCAATTATTTGTTTCTCCTTCTGGTGTCATATATTGAGTCTGTGATGATGTATTATTATTTTTAATTGACATTTTTTGTTTTTGATTAGTGATACATTAGAAATAGAAGCTGTTATTTTTTAATTCTCAAATACACTCATTCTTTGACTGTCAGAATTGTGAATTTTTTTGTGTGTGAAATTGACAGAGCTTCACTTCTCACATTGTGATACATTAGCAATAGAAGCTTTTACTTTCTAAATGCTCAAGTATACTAGTTATTTGACTGGGTCTATTTTTTTAGAGCATTAATTTAAATATATTTCTACAACAAAATTAATTGCATTTCATGGAAATTTAAGAACCTTGTTTGATTAGGATACTATATTATCTTGACCAATTCTTCATTTTCCTTGGGGTTATTAGACTAAGTTTGGTGTGTTTCTATTCTTTCCTCTTACTTTTCCTCAATTTTTTTCACTTTTATAAAAGGTAGCTCTCTGCGCTTCTTTCTTTTTTACTCATAAAGTAAGTCTATTACAAATTTAATAACAAGAATTCCCATCTCAACCCAATAGTCTATTACAAAATTTAATAGTTTTGTATACTTTTTGTCTAGAACTTGCTGAAAATATTTACCCTTGAATATTCTCTTTAATGGGGCAGCCTCATATTTCCCTTATATATTTGAGATTTTTAGTCTATGGGTGCCCTTGACATTTTTTTTCAACAATTCTCTCTTTTTATGTTTAATTGATGTTGATCATTTGGGCAATGTTACTAGCAGTACAACCACCACCATTTGAATTTACATGATCCACCACAATAGAGTCACGATTTTAAGTCTCTTGTCTTTCATATATTTAATTTGTACCACTTGGTAAAGACACTAACATTGTTCTTGTACTTATCTTGTTATTAGTTTTGTAGGCTTGATTATTCTTAAAATTAGTCGAGGTATATTTACTGATCATCGACTAGGATATTTGACAAGAAAGTCTAAAGTTGGGTTATGTTGTTGCCATTTCTATTACCTTTTCTTTTAACCATATTTGTTTTTGTTGGGTTAGTTCTGTTCATTTAAGGTTTAGTCATATCTTTAACTTCTTTTTATTTTAATAACAATGCATTTTACTTATTTAAAACTTTTGAACTTCTAAATTCTTTGTTGCATTTCATAAAATCTCTCATTTAGTTGGTGATTATTTTTTCTTACTTCGCATTGTTTATAACATTCACAAATGTAGATGAACATGAGCTGGAGATTAAAGATTTTATTGAGGTGGCTAAGGCCCAAAAGAATAAAACTTTATTCTCGGTGATGACACTTCAAATGAAGAAGATACATCCAATGATGGTTGCTCAGATGGAGAAGATATTATGTTCTATGATGAAGTTTCAATCCAGTTTTTGTAATCCTCTCTCTTTGATCAATGTTTTTTTTACTGAGGATACACTATTTATTTTGTAGGTAGAGATTTATCCAACTTACCACTTTTGGTGGTTAGATGAGGCAAATGAAGGCAAGCTTGCATTCTATTAACTTCTACCATCATTGCAGCAAATGTTGGCTTTAGAGCATTCCCTCTTATCTTAAGTTAATCAGTAACAATCAACTTGGTATATATGCTGAAACTTCTGGAGTGTTTGTTGATGAGATGGCCTCAGGCAAATGAAGGTAAGCTTCCATTCGAAGGATTTGTGTTTTAATCTACATATAGTTGTTTCCAATGTTGTCGATTGTCTGGATTGTTTTGCTCAATGTTTCTCCTATTCTTCTTCCTTTTTACTTTCCTGATTTTCAAAATTTGCTAAAGAAAAGGAAATGAATTCTAATTGGACTATATAGCCTAATTACTTTTTGTGCATTCAGTGTAGCTTTTTTGCTGCTTTTTCATGGAGTGAGATTTCCACTTTGGAGTTGGATGATGTTGTTTCCAATGTCATTTATATTTCGTACTAAATTCAATAGCTTTGTTTATCTAAGGAGAAAGGTAATTCAAATTTCGTCATTGGTTCGTGATTATGCTCTTTTTGTTACTGTCATATATATATATATATATATATATTTGTTTCAATGAAATCTATAATTGGAACATTCCCCATTTTTTTTTTTTCGTTTTCTCAACTTACAAATTAATTTTCTATAACCTTGTTCTAATGGCTTTGTTCGTTTTGAATTGCAGAGCAATTGATTGGGAGGACATGAAAAAAATAAACTACTCATGGAAGTGACAAAGTAAAGTGATGAGATTAGTGTCCCCATATATAGGGACTTGGAAGATTGCTTTTATGTTTTAGTTTGGTATTTTGTGTTGCACAATTGAAATTTTATGTTGTATTAGAATCGAACAATTGAGGGTAGAAATTTGATCAAATTATGTGTAAGTTTGTATTTGAACTCGAATTATTATGTACTTCTTAATGAAATTTAATGTTATGTTTAAATTTGTGATGCCTTTTGTACTCGGAAATGTGTATGGTTGAATGTATAAATTTAATTAATGTCAATCAGTTTTTTTAACAATGGCAATGAGTAACAAAATATATTTTTCACTATTAATAAAATTATGTTTCTTTGTACCTACTTAGTGATGAAAACTGTTGGTCACTGTTTAAATTAGCAACGAAAATATTTGTCATTAATGCTAAAGAAAATGCAACGAAAAATTTTGTCGCTAAAATTCAAGTGGCACTGATGAATAAATTTTCATCACTAAAACTCAAACAATAGTGACGAAATTTTGATTCGTCACTATAGATCAACCAAGACGTTTATATAGCAACAAACTAGTGATGAAAGTTTTTTCGTCGCTAAATACTTTTAATGACAAAAATTTAACTTTTTGTGACAAAAAAAAAAAAAAACGTGACTAAAGATCACTTTTGTTGTAGTGCATTTAAAGCTCAACTTAAATAGAATGCAACAAAGCCACCTTACCCCCAAACTTAAACTACACATTGTCCTCAATGTACAATGAGAACAATGAAAAAGATGGAAAGAATATATCGTGGTGAAAAAGAAATGAAGTCCGGTAGTGATCCATTGAGAAAAAGTGCACTCCCAAACTTGGAATCAACAACCTACTTGAATAACCACACTTGCAAACTCACATCAAATATCAAATGGGATAAAGAAAATCAAATCAAGCATTCTAATGCAATATAGCACAATATGCAAGAGAGATAAGAGATTAAGCCCTCAATAAAACATGAAAGTAGCATGACTACACATAAGGGTACAATGGTGAAATTTTTTTTAATTTTAATTTTAATTTTTTTTATTTTTCATTTTAATGAAAGCAAGTATATACAAAATGCAAGAAAATTAAAGAATGAAATGCATGAACAAAACACAAAAAGAAAAAATAAAGAAGGTAAAATGCAATGAAAGAATATGTACAATGTAAGAAATGAAAAACAAAAAGTAAGAAAGGATACAAAATAATAAAAAAATAAAAAACTCTTTTTTTTTTTTTTCTTTTTTTTGACATAACAAGTATGTACACATACAAAAAAAATAAAACAAATAAATGCAAGAAATGAAAATGCAAGGAAATAAGGGATGCAAATTCTTCTTTTTTTTTTGCCTGGGCACAAATTGCTGAATTTCAAAAAAAATTTCAAAGGCAGAAATTTTTCTATGGCCCTAAAATGCATGAATATGGTCAAAAAACCTGATTTTTGACAATGAAGTGCAATGGAACATAACTAGACGCCGCAAGAAGTAAAAAATAAAAAGAAATGTGGAAGGAATAGAGTTGTGAAACTTTACGAATGCTAGTTTTTAACGTCTCTAGCAAGACGTTGGTTCAACTCACTAGTCGAACGAATCAAAAACCAGATATGAAACATCCTTATTGACCCTCTTTTCCATTTTCTCATTTAATGCCTCACTTGCAACAATGAAATCATCCTCTAAAAGAATGACTAAAAAAGAAATTATGAAAGATGCAATTTGTTTCTTTTCATCCACAGTCTTGAAATTAAAATCAATGATTAGTGGCCTTGCACTTGGCAAGGCAAAGTCTTTCAAAGACTCAATTGGAATATCAAGAAATATCTTCTCTTTCATCCTTTTTCTCTTCCTCAAAAATCACCATCTCCTCACCTTCCAAGTTAGCTAAAGAGTCCATTAGAGAGTTCACTTCATTTTGGAGCTTTCAAGGTCAAAATCACAATTTTTATACATTTCGAAAAGGCATGTCTCAAGAGGGTCTTTGGAGATAATAGAAGGAAGGCCCTCTTCAACAAGTTCCTTCTTCTTCTCTCCTACCTCTATAGTGGTCAACATCTCCTCACTCTCTAAACTATCAACGGCCAAGATAAAATCATGATCAAAACAAGGAAAGTCCTCACTAATCATGTTATGCTCTATTGGATAGTGGACTCATTAACTCCTCAAATTGGTCACTTGCTACTTCTTCCTCTTCACTCTCATCATCCTCATCTATATAAATTAAAGTTCTTGCCCTTTTTTTCATTTTCCTCTTCCTCTTTCTCTTAATGAGAAAGAGTACTTGCAATTTGCTCAACTTAAGCTTTAAGCTTGGCTAAAATTTGAGAATGTGAAAGGATAAGTTAAGTTTGTGAATTAAGCCCATCAAGTAGAGCTAACACTTTTTCTTGAAACTCAGGTGAATAAGGTGATGGAGGTGGTTCTTCATAAAATAGTGGTCGAGGGTAATAGTCACAAGGAGGTTAAAAGAGTGATCAAGCCCACAATAAGATGATGCATGAAATGAATTGGACTCAATCTCATAAGGATTAAAATATGATGAAGGAGCATAAGGTGAAAGGAAGAAATTCCCCCCCAAACTTGGATCAAATAATGGCTCCATTCACATTAAAAATCCAAATGCAAGAAATTTTTTTGACCTTCACATGGACCAAAACTTGGACAAATATTTAAGCAATATAATGAGCCTCAACAAGGGCTATCACAAGCATGCAAACAATTGCAACAATTAAAATACAAGAGTTCCAAGAATTTCTGACAATTAATGGTCCTTAAGCAACTTCAAATTTTAATATTAGCTTTAAGTTCCAATGATTGCTTCAAGTTCCAAAGTTTGCCTTTCTTGTACTCAAGTACCTAATTGGACAAATAATATTAAGAGCAAGAAATGAAAATACAATGGAAAATAAAATAAAAATAGAAGCAATCAAATGAACACTATTGTCTAATCTAAATCCAACAAAACGTTAATCCCCGGCAACGGCGCCAAACTTTGACGAGGGCCGCTTGTATATGCCAAAACAATGGCGTGAATGTGCAGTTCAAGAAAAGCCTTTTAGGTCAAGTTTAAATTTATAAAAACCACTACCACCACTACCAAGAGTGAGTAGGGATCGTCCCAAGGGATTATACGTGTTGAAATTTAATTTCGACTCTAGTGGATCACAAGATTGCAAAGGAGAGATTGATTGATTAAACTAAGATGCAAACAAATTAAAATGCAATTAAAATAAACTAAGTTGAGATAGGGATTTAAGAGATGAGAAGTGAGGTCTTGGGCTATATTGGAATTCCACCAAGCTTGTTCACCAAACCACACACTTTCAACTAATTTGGGGAAAACATTCTTGTAAATAAAATGTCACTACCAATTGCAATATTAAGCATGGACCATTAAATTGATGTATGAACCATCTACCTAACCGATAAATAACTAAGTGTAGCACAACCCATCAATTCTAAGCATGACCTATCAAACTAGTCACAATTGTAGCACACATCAATCTAGAGAATCAGGAAATTTGCAATAATAAGTCATGAAATATCAAATCATGTAAAGATTGTCTACCTACCTACAAACATGAATTAAATTGTAAAATAACCCATCAAGCATAAGAATAATCCATCAAATTAATTGACAAACCCATTCAATAAATACCATGCATAGCCATCCCTAGATCCTTAATTAATCACACACAGACTTGCAACCAACATAGAGAAACTAGTGTAGAGATCAATTCCCAAATAATCACACATAAGACAACATGTAATCACAAAGAGAATCAATAGGAAGAATTAAACCATCTGAATCATGTAAGACATAATTCCCAATTTAATCACACATAGACATGCAAATAAACTAGAGAATTAATAGGAAGAATTAAACCATAGAAATCATAGAAATATACCAAGATTCATTTTATTCACAAGGCTATAGCACTAATCACAGGATAAATTCCCCAAAAAGTATGAAAGAGATAGAGATTTAGATTATAAACTTGGGGCTCATCTAAGCCCCAAGGAGAAGTCTAGCCAATCATGGAGGAGGTGGATGTGATCTTAGAACCCTCAAGGGCAATCCCCAAACATGGCTCCATCTTTTTCCTCTTCTTCTTTGTTGAATTCTAAGAGAGAGATTGTGTAGATCTAGAGATGTGTTCTTGGAGCCTCCATTCTTCTCTTTTCTTCTAACCCTAATCTCTAACTTTTCTAGAGAGAGAAAATAAAATTCCAATCTAAAAATAAAAATGATAAAAGCTCCCTTACAAAATAGTTCAATTCCCTTTATATACAAATTTTTTAGAGTAGGCACCAAGTCAGAAATATAGCCTATGATTGGAGGAAATTCGCAGCTATGCACGGTAGGTAGAAATCAGCGCGCTCAGGAATTAGACAGCTCACTACCAGCAGCATTTTCGATCGATCAAAGATTTTCGATCGATCAAACACTTATCTTTGATCGATCGAAACTGACGTGGCATCAAAAATATCTTCTGGCCTTACCCACTTTGCTAAGCTGGTACCGCCTTGTTTCGATCGATTGAAGACCACTTCGATCGATCGGGACTTCCTTTTGATCGATCGAAGTTCCCCTAGTGCATTTTTTCTTGGCTTCTTTCCAACTTTGCTCCTTAGCTCCAAAACTATGCTAAATGGCTCTTGTTAGCCTGTTTGAACATTATTCACCTGAAATAGGCAATAACACAAATAAGTATATAAAATATGGAAGTAAGATAGATTAATGAACTAAAATACCCTAACTTAGGTGCTAAAATGCGTCACATTTGAGCACTCATCACTACTCCCAAGTTGAAAAAGAAAGTGGCAAAAATCCCTAATGATATCCGATTATCAATTTTCCACCTTTCTACAAGATGTTAATCTTAGAGACAGTTTTGTACTTGTCCCTATCCGTACCGACGCACCAAAACTAACATTAGATGTCCCGATGTAATGCATAACCATCTGAGTGCACTGTATATTTTACATTTTAGGCACTCTGACCTCCATAACATCAGTTACAAAATCGACTAAACCTCCTCTAGTACCTTCAACTCTATCTAAGTAAGATAACACGGCCTCTAGTTCAGCTCCGACATTCTAAGTTGACCTCTTCAATTACCCTGGTAATAGTAAGTGGCTTTATCATAAACTAAAACTTTAACTGCTAACTCAACATCTAACCGAAAGATTTGAATATCGAATTGGTTGTTAAG